GAGAGAGAGAGAGAGAGAGAGAGAGAGAGAGAGAGAGAGAGAGAGAGAGAGAGAGAGAGAGAGCAAGGGGGGGGAGGGGAAGGAAGACGAGTGATCTACACAGAGGGAAGACAATGGGGGCAGAGGGAAAGAGGGGAACAACACACACACACACACACACACACACACACACACACACACACACACACACACACACACACACAATAGTATACACGCGCGCAGACCGATTGGAAGTGGGTTTGGCTGTTGGTGGATAAGACTACCGTTACTCCCGAATACAATGCACCCTGACTATGAATGCATACAAGCCATCTCTCCGGTCCGATACGGTCGTGATGAGGGTGCGTTATGTTCGGGGGAAGACAGTAGATATGATACCTCCGATGACCCTGGCGATGAGGTTTGCCATCTATAGCTTGATCTTTAAACGTATTTCCAATGCAAAGTGCTCATCACAAGCTTACCCCGTCTTCACCCGAATACAACGTACGGTCATTATTTCTGTACCTAGACTCAAAGTCGGCCCAAATACTGTAAGTATGTAGACTTAAAGTTGCCCCGAATGCAGCTTTTTAATGATCGGGCGTTGCCTTCGGTTGAAGACGGTAGTACGCTATTTCGCCGCTCATTGCAAACGCGCCTACGCCAGCAACTCGATAGCAATCACCGGATAGATAGCAATCAACGGACAGATAGCAATCAACGGATAGCAAGCGTCTTTTGTACTGAAAGTGCGCGGAGATTGCTTGCTATAGGAGGATAGCAAGAGTGCCCTTCTGCAATATAGACGATCAGATAAAGTCAGTTCGAGTGTTCTGTCGTAGAAGCCGGGCAATGCCTACCAGCCAACTACTTACAGGCACTTCACAAGTTGTCATTTCATAAGGGACGCTGGGCCCGCTTCCCACCACGTGCTGCTTCCCACGAATAGATCGGAGCCTTGTTGCGTAAAAAAAAAAAATGTTATTGGCTGCCTCGACATACAAATAACTCAGTTGTTTGGTACAACCATGACATGTTCTTTTACAAACCCAAGTTCATCTGGTTAATCGAACTTGGGTTTGTAATTCATGGAATAAGAGCAAATTGTTCTAGTGGACTAAAAAAAAGCCATTATGAATTCTCTTTTTTTTTTACGGAGCTTTTGATGATCGATCTCTCAAAGCCAAAGCAATCTAATAGGTACGCGAAAAAGGTCCCCCCATAGTATTACAGTCTGGATAGAATTAGCAGCGCAAAAAAAAAAAAAAAAAAAAAAGAATTAGCAGCGCACCCCTTTATTTACTAGCTAAGGCTAGCATCAACTCGATCGATCAGTCAAGAGATCGAAACCTGCTGCATGGAACAGCCTGCTGCATGCAACAGCCAGCTGCACGGAACAGCCTGCTGCATGCAACAGCCAGCTGCATGGAACAGCCTGCTGCATGCAACAGCCAGCTGCATGGAACAGCCTGCTGCATGGAACTGCCTGCTGCATGGAACAGCCTGCTGCATGGAACAGGGAGAGAGACACGTTCTGCTGCGCGGGACGAGGGGGCGCGAGCTGGCAGAACTCATACGAAGACTAACAATTCCAAGAACTCAAACTTTTCGATGTTATGGCATCATTGCCATCGTGAGAGTGCAAGGAGCAGTCGGAGAGAAAAATAAAAAAGATTGTTTGGTCCACGTGGCCGGTTGCTATCTACCATCAGATGAGTCAGAAAGAAAAGAGAGAAAACGTTGCAAGCAGGTAGACACACACACACGCACATGCACGCACATGCACACGCACAGGCAGAGATTGAGTGGCCAAGGGAAGCAACCATGCGGAGGAGGCGGTTGCGCAAGAGATCACACGGCTGATGAGCCAAAGATCGCGGGTTCGATTCCAGGTGCAGGGTTGGTTGGACCAAAGAGAAAGGGACTGGTAATGCGCAAAAAAAGGGAGGAGGAATCGTCACAAGCGCACTGGACGGAGCAGGCAGCGAGATCCAGAACCAGCGCAAGAGGTCGGAAGAAGGGCACCCTCCTTCGTGGCAGCAGCACAAGGAGGGGGCGATTGATCTATTCGAGGGTCCCTCTCATGGGAACATGAGAATTCATTCAATCACTTCGCGGAATCGAACCCGCGATCTTTGAGTTTGGAACTAAGTTCTAAGATCCGGAATGGCGGATCCTGCCCACATGGGAGTTGATCACCCATCTATTGGAGGACAGGAGGGGGTATATTCAGCAACTCACGGAAAAAAGAAAAAAAGAATAAAAAAAGCGCATGAAAACCACATCAGATCCCACACACACACACACACACACACACACGCACAGAGAGAGAGAGAGAGAGAGAGAGAGAGAGAGAGGGGAAGCGGCGGG